ATCTAATGAATAATGCTGTCACGTTGTACTATTGAAGTATCGGGACACAAGCTGCACAATCGCTTGCATGTGCAGAAACACACGCACATATCTATTTTTAGCAAATAGACTGCATGTAGGGTGTAAATGATAAAGCCATTGATCTGAGTGTTACGACCAGAGGAGAAAGAAGGGGCAGACAGCACGTTCCAGTCTTTAGAGATCTGGACTGCCATTTTACTTTATCTTCACACTGAGCAGAAAAGCTGGGCTCAACGCAGATGCATGAAGATGGACTGACAGATAGATCTTACACGTGTGAAAACGCACAGGTGCGCGGATACAAAAATAAGAGAGAAAAGGAAGGCAGAAAATGACTGACAGCTGCAGTCACAGACACAGAAATCAGGGTGGAAGGACACACTAATCCCCTAGTTTGCCTGGCTGACTGTCTTTCTGCTTCTTGTATCTGAACATACCCTGTGTGACGTGCTCCAGGGTGCCACTGTCAGGCCTGTCATAACACGAGTGGGGAGAAAAGCTGCAAGAGTCAGTTAATATTCAGAAACACTCCAGTTTTAGTTCATAAGTGAAAAGGGTCGCTCTAGCAGACAGGAAGGGCTGAGGGCAAGATGAGAGAGGAACAGATGAGAGAGCACAAGGAGAAACAAGATCTGCAGGAAAAACAGAGGAGATAAGGAAGAGGAAGTGACTGAAACACACTGGAGCTCTGTAAGCTGAGGGAGGCTCTAAGATTATACTTGGAGGATATTAATATCTTATTAGACCATGCATAAAGTGATCAGAGGCAACCCTCCATGCACTAATTCAAGATGAACAAATTAATCTGACATGGTTTGGTTTAATCTAAATTAATAAAAATTCATTAGAAAGGTGAGCAGAGGCTGAGAGTGATGCAACACCTGTGGATCAAGATGAATGAATGGAATCTAGGAAGGGATAGTGAAAAACACAGCAGCACCTACAGGGGTAGCATATCACAATGTTATTTTGAATCATTCGTTAAAAACATTCAGTAAAAAGATGAATCTCCTGTCCTCATACAGCTAGCAGCTGTAGCTCCATCCTCCGGCCACAAATGCATCCCTGTCACCCCTACATGCCAGACACACGTCTGAAAACATCTGCTATGACCTCATCTGAAACTCACCAAAGTTTGCTGATACTGAAGCGTCTGGTCTTCGGCCTTGTCCTTCTCCATTGCCGCAATATCCTCATTCAGACGCCGACTATGAGACACTCAGGAGCGCAAGTCGCCCGCTAATTAATCTGCGGAGGAGGACTCGGCGTGGCCGCCTGCCATCACATGAGCAGTGTGTAACAAGTTTCTCATCACAGGTCCTCTGGCATGACGCTAAGCCGCGGTGTGTGCGTGTATGTGTGCCAGCTGGATGTCGGCTCGCAGCAGCGCTGGTGCGGTTTGACTGCAAAACACCGCCTCCCTCCTCCACTCTCACTGTACTAGTGTCTCTCTGAGAAGTTAGGCTACTGGACTCGATGGCTGGGGTAGTTTGGGCTTTTGTGCTGAGGCCTGTGCAAGTTTACCAGGCTAAATGATTGTTTGGATAAATTATGATCTGTATTTTTTATTAGATTAGATTAGATTTTTATGTATTGTGGTACTTGAGTCATCACTGGAAGTGTGATGAGTAACTCATAGGGTGAAGCTTGTGGTGGAACTTATAGCTTCATAAATGCCATAATCTTCACAGTGGTCCCTCTAGCAGCTGAATAATAGTGGATTGCCTCTGTGCTCCCATTAGTGAATTTATTGAAGTGATTCTAATGCATGGCATTTTTGTTGAAATTCCTACAGGATCTAAAATGTTGTTGGCTGACTTTACAAAATAAGCAATTACCCAACCCATTTCCCTCAAATGTTACATTTAGAGACACTTTATCTTGTCTATGCTTATTTATTAGCTCATTCATTGTGGATATTGTCCAAACTCTTACAAAAAAACTGGGTCCGACTGCATAATGTAACTAACTATGTATTGAAATAGAACTTCCCAGCATAGTAAAATGACCATATCATGGCTGTGTACTTCATTTGAAAAATAAACTGAATTTTATTCATAAAATCAGTGCAATACCCCTTTAAAATCTAAACTCTTTTTATGCTGATCCAATCTGAACCAGAATGCCAACGACTCTCTAACACTTTGAAGCATGAAAGCAATATACACTCGGGGCCTTAAGGTGGAAATATAAGTGAGTATTGGCTGATGAACTGTTCTGCTGAAGGAAAACGTGAAAAACTGCAACAGCATGATGAAGAAAATTATGCCTTTCTCTACAATTGGAGACACAATCAGTATTGTCTGAGAATTCATCCAGAATATAAATATATCTTTAAAAATCAGACAAAAGCAAGAACAAACAGGTGAGAAATTGCAGTCCCTTTCAGAAATACTGGCACTGAATGAGTTTGATGCTTGAGACAGAGGTCTTCACCACCATCATCACAACACCAATGTGGAAATATCTTTGGGAATATGGTGTGCATGCTTCCACTGCAGCTCAGAGACTTGTAGAATCATTAGGTGCACTGAAGATGTTCTAGAGGTTCCTAGTTGTCCAGCATCTCACTAAAATGCTTTTTGTTGGTTTGTCCTTTAATCTGTCACCCATTTGTATGTGTATGCGTAGTTGACCACTACAGATTTAGTCAGAATTCATGCAGGGCCTCATATTCTGGGGATATTTTAAACAGTTTTCACCTAGTGGCTACCAAACGTCCCCTTAAGGAGCATTTTGCAGTGAAGTACACTACTCATGGGCACCACAACAATCACTTTTAAGTCTGTATTATTTGCTCATCACTCCTCTCATGTGCCATAAAATGGCCCTGTACGTGTGCTCGCAGAAGCATTTCTCAGCATGGCTGACTGGTATTGGACATAGAGACTAATAATGAGTCAGGGTAAAACATAAGTGGTACATTTTCAGAGGAAATCAGTTCCAAAAGGTAAAGCTATTTTTTTAATTTGGGTTCTACGGTTTTGTCATATGCTCAGTAATATAAATATGTAGGTTTTTCTTTGAATGTTCATCTCACCTTTACAGAATGAATCAGTATTCCAACAGTGCAGCAGAGCATTGGGGTCAGTGCTTAAGAAGCATGTAAGGATTTGGGGTTTTGTACTTACACACAGTAGTACAAATCATGTGCATATGCTGTATCTGATTATATAGCAGGCATGTGGAGGGACTGTGAACAGGTGAAATGCAATACAGAGCAATTCACTTTTGGATGGTTGACTTTGAGAAACTTGAGTTGTGTATAACAAAGGAAACCCTTTTTGTGGTTCAAATGTTAATCTTGGGAGAAGATGAAATGTCTTATATGTTATGTGATGAGGATGATATACTTATGGTAAAGTTTGAAAATGCTTCTTTTTTATGACGCAGCAATATTTGTGGTGTCTTATAAATCCATATGGGCTGGGCACTGGTGTATGACACAAATAAATGCATTTGATGATCTTGAATTTGAACTCTTAGTAGTGCTTGTATCCAGCTCTAAAAGCCCACACTTGAAGGCTTGTTACATTTTCAGATCACTTCCTTTCCTGAGATGACACATATATTATAATAGTCTGGGCTTCCACTAAAAAAATTTCAGACATGTCTACAGTACTTACTGTCAGCGAAATCTCTTGCACTGAAAAATGTGGTGCCAAATGAGACTCACACCTGGAAGATAACCACTGTTCAGTGATTCGGCGCTGCTTTGTCCGGAGCCAAACATCTTTCATGTTTGTCAATATTCCTTCAGTTGGATAGAAACTCCAGGTAGCTCACATTTTCAGTTTCTCAGGTCAAAGCAAATAGTGCCACCTAGCCCAAGCCCCACATTGTTATGAAACCGTACCACCCGAACAGCAGGTCACTAATGAATTCAAGCTTTGGATTGATGCCTCACATAAAACAATTTAAGCAGTCACAGGCCAGTGTGCATTTGAATATCTGAATCTCTCATCCATAGGTTAAAATACTTCATTCCTCTGGGAGTCACCACCTCTGACTGGCTGACAGAAAAAATTTGTTCTGCGCAAGCTGTTTGGCAGTCGGCAAGAAAACCGGTTCAAAGCACTGGACCACAGGCACCAGAATGAAGCAGGGCATCTGAGATAACTGGGGGATTTCAGCACACTCTCACAAACACACACTTTCATTCACAGATCTCATTATTCATGCACTTCAGGTTCATGTGCACATCAGGCCTGCAGTTAGTCCTCACACCAAACCCCTCTCTCATAACTGAGAAAGGTAACTGCCTTCATTTTACCAGGGAGCTTGCATCCGCAGACAGGCACAGGTACCATGGTCCCAGCAACAGAGGAACTGGGTGCTCTGCAGCCCCGAGCACCAGCACACTGACCCACATCTCTCCATCTCCACAGGATGCTTTAGAAATACACCGCCCACCTCTGCATGGAGGCCAGTGTGGTACCATCATACAAGGACAAACATGTCTCTTGTCCTGTTTGTGACCGTCAAGAGAAAGATCGGTGGTTTTCCTGTCATAAGAGAGCTCAACATCCACATCATGAAACGGATTAGAAAATGGTCACACGTATTTTCTAGACCTTAATACGGTTTAGTTTAGTGTAATTCTAAAGTAAGTGTGTCATTGTAGGAAAAGGATATTTTATCATGGATGTAAAAGTAACAGTAAAAATAATTTAATCTGACGTACTATTCATAATATATTTTACATCTACAGTACAACAAGGACTTTGAGTCCTTGGTGCTCTTGATACAACCACCTGTGTTTTGTGTCTCAAGTTTCTCAGCTGTCATTCCTTTTGAATACAGCTGGCAGAGATAACCTCAAAATAACACCAGATTACCTGTAAATATATCACAATCCAAAGAGACCTTCAATTAGCATCTGCCCTTGAACCAGATATGGACACACTGCAGAAGATACGCATAGATGTGACACTTTAGAGAAAAGAGACAGTGATCCATCTTATCGGGACCCAACTTACGGTTTCCCGCGGGGCTGCTGTCCTTCTCTTTTTTTCTTCTCTCCTCCTCGGGCTACAGAATCCAAACCGTCAGCTGTGTCTCTCCATTGCGCCTTGGTGGAACAGTGACTGAAATAAAAGAACACACAGCTACAGGTTGCAGCGCACACTTGATCGATGATGCGATCGGAATGCAGATGACTCCCGGGATCACGCTTCACTCCACCGAAGAGAAATAGTACATCCCAGAAACTGGCCTGTTGCTGACGCACAGTCCATATAGCACCGTGCCAAAGTTGTCAACACAGCGCGTAATTACCGGCTTTGCGTCTCCAGAGCAGCCCACAGCGGAGCAGACCACTGCTGCCCGGCTTTGGAAACCAGGCGCAACAAAAGCCAACGGTTTGAGAGCGCGCATGCATGCGATAGTGAGTCTAAGAAACTCTGTAATAAGATGCTACAGTCTCCTCATCGGCTCCAGCTGAGGTGGGAGGGAGACAGCAGGGTACCGGGTGTCGTGTCCGTGATGCATTGCGGGTACCGTCAGTGTCATGGGCCACAGTTTCTTCCTTGTGTGCAGAAATCCAGGCTCCCCGGTCATGATCTGCGGAGCTGTGGCGCACATTCATCCAAATTAACGGCAGTATGGATTGTGTGCAGAGATGGGAGGTGGTTATGAGTGAGAAAAACAGCACGTGTGCTCTCTCTTCTCTGCATCTCCCTCTCTACCCTTGCATGTGACAACACACACACACTCGCTTCAAGGTCTAATATTAGACGACGTGCGCCTTAAACGTGGCATGCATGAAAAGCTTGGGCGCACAGACAAGAGGGCAGGGGCTCAGTCAGTGTCCAGGCTGGGGTGATGGAGGGTGAGCTCATGCATCTGAAATGAGGATGCAGGCTGCATTTACCCATGCTTTCTCTTTTCCATGCCTTTGACAGCTATTACCCCACACCCACAACCCACCCCGCCAAATCGCGATTTGAGCGTCATCGCGTCCTCTAGCTTCACCCCCGTTACTCCCCGATGGCTGATTGAACGTGTCCATGTGAAGACCGCTTGTTCACTTCTCCTCCTGGATGATAAATACAATGAGTAAGGTTGTCCAACTATAATTGAATAGGTAATCACGTTGGCAGTAATTTCATCTTGTCCTGCCCGCAAAGACCGCATGCTTGTTACAAAACAGCTGGTGGTGTTTCATGGTGGAAAAAAGGGGGGAAGTTACTTAAAATACAAAAACAACAACAAATTAAGAAAAGAGGCAAGGTTAGACCTGCTTTGTAAGCTTAATAAAGCAGCCTACTCTTTTTTTAAGACTTGTGTGGATTATTATGTCAGATTTAAAAGTCACCACACAAGCTACACCCACAGAGCTCACACACCCACATGCTGCATGTGGCTATGATGCTTCCTCAGACGCCAATTTTGTGAATTATGTGAACCCAAGCTATTGGCAGGAGCAAATCTAGACAAAACGTAAACAGCCCGTAGCAGTAGTGAATGTATTTGCTGTGTAAATGGTGTCTTTCACAATAATAAATTATTAACCTTTTAGTCAGAAGGACCGCTGTCCCATGAATGCGAATGAGAATCAATATCAATGAAATGGCATTTTCAGTCTATTACGTTTTGTTTTCCTCTGCAGCAGGGAAGTTGGAGCACATCCTGCTCTCTGGCTAGATAACACTCGCACTTCCCACTCCTGAATGAGAAGGTGGGAAATCAAGTGGTGAGAAGACGAAAAGGACACACAGCTCCTCTTTATGAGACATTACCGTGGACATGGCATTTTTCACTTGGCACATCTCTTAATGAAACAAATGTGGACCCACCGGGAGCATCTGAGCTGGGCATGGCTTTAAGCAGTGAGTACTGGGCCTAAACTAATCAAAGTTTCACTTATAAAGATATTAATGGAAGTCTAATAAGCTGGTTTGTAGCACCTCAACCTCAGTGTGTGTTTATGTTTGTCCAGGACTCCTGCTGCTCTGTATAGTAGCCTCTGAGGTGTGGGATGCTGAGACCAAACCCACAGACTTTGTCTGTATAAGAGCAGCCAGGAGGGCTATGAATATTGTGGCAGAGATTGAGGGTGCATTGGTGAGGACAGTATATACTGTACAGTATATGTTTCTTTGAAATAAACTTTCCTCACTTTTCTCTTTCTCTTTTCTTCCCACTGGTTTGATGTGTTTGATCATCTTGGGTGTGTGGAGTTACCTTTTAGTTTCCCATCAGTCTGTCTCTCTGTTGTCCACCTGTTTGTCTGGCTTCTGTCACCTGTGTCTTCCATATCTTCTCTTTAGCAGAGTACCTGTAATGGATCGATGACTGTCTCCGCACTAGTTCAGCTACCCTGCACAGAGCTTCATGTAGCAACTTGGGAAAACAAATCAGTATGTTGTCACATGTATGACTCCAAATTCCTCTATCAAAGTGGATTTATTTCTTGCCTGCTTTTGATTTGAGAATTTTATCATTCCTTTAAAAATACACTTCATTGCCATTTGTTTTCTGTATGTGTGTTACTGCAGCACCAGGAGAAGAGAGGAGACATAGTTGCGTCATTGAGGCTTCTTGCAGAAGGTTTGAATGTTTTGAAGGCCCTAAATCAGACAAGATGTGTCTCTTCTCTGCTGCAGAGACTGGAGAACAACATCACCAACTACCTTCTCATTCTTACACACCTACAGCTGAGTGTAAGAAGCTGTCATAGTTACAAACTGCATGCAATTGTTTAAAGTGGTGTTAAGACATTTCTAAATTATGCTGTCAAAACAATATTTCAGTGCCTATGAAACATTCACCGTAGATTTTAACCTGCAGGTCTAAATGTCTTTTGACCTGCAAATTATCAAATCAAAGCTGGCAGGGCTCAGTCTCTCTTTGTCACTCACATGCAAACACATCACAACAAACAGAGCCAAGTAAAACTCATGAGCGTGTTGATGAAAATTCACACGTAATGAGTGAAAACGTGTTGATGGGTTTCTCTCAGCGCTTTGCATTTGATTCAGAGGCATTATCAGTTTCCTCTGGTGTGGAAATTTCCTGGTTTCTCGTAAATTTGTGGCTTTCTGGAATATCTGTGCCACTAAAGTGATGGTGTTATGCTGTGTAATCTCAGGCCTTCCTTCCTCAGGACAAGAAAAAGATAGCAAAGCATACTTTCCCAGGGACAGAGGGTTTCTTTAAAGTCAGACAAGTGCAAGATTTTGATTTAGCAAATTTTTTGAAATGTTGGTTGTTATATCACCCTCCCATTTGGTTCAATGGTCAGCCTCAATCTTTTCTTTATGTTATTTTTGTTATTAATTATTAAAGCCATCAACATGATTGTGCTTTCTATTTGGACCAGCAGGGGCCAGTAGTGAGTCCATCATTGTCTTGTGTTCCTCGAAGCACCCAGAGTCTGAACACTTTTCTGTTGAGATACAACCAACTGATCTTCGGTAAACTGGAGAGGTTCATGGTTAGCCTGGAAACCAGATGCCCTTCCCAGTGACACACAAGAACGACTTCAGTGGAGCCAATGTTGTTCAAATGGGGGATGAACTCAATTATGAATCCCCATGTCAAACAAAGAGGAACGAGATCAACCACAGAAAAACTGGGTTTTCTCTTCACCTGTTCTCAGTTTTCACTTGTAAAAGTATGATTTATATTATGTGATGGGTAGACTCTCACTCTTTAAGAGTAGAAATCAGAAATAGACATCTTCTGCTCATAAAGAGAAACAATGGAAGAAGAAGAAGAAGAGAGATATGATAGACAAATGAATGTATAACAGGTGACCAGTTTTTTTTGTATCTGTCTACATAAAACAGGGGATGTTTTAAATGTAGTTGTTGACACAGAACCGAACTTTATGTAGTCTACAAGCAGCGTCCTCAAGTCTCTGTTCAAACGAATCGAAACCTGAATGATTGTTTCATATCAGTTGCTGTTGTGTGGCCAGAAGCAAAAGTCAGCTTTTTGTTTGGATTCATGCTTTCAGCCCAGATTTGTTTTTCAGTGATGCAAAAGTCTTTCAAAGTGGAATATCACATATGCATATGGACTGGAATTGTTTTGCTATAACTCTGTGGTAGTGAACAGATTTTGTTTATTTTCATTGCACTATTTTAAAGGTTATTAATTTGCTGGATATCTGTGCATGTTCTTATGTTTTTTTTAAGGAACTCTACCTTTGGTTTCTTTATTAATTTCTGTATGTAATGTAAATACTCAAATAATGTATCAAAGGGGAAAGGTTTGTTAAATGTTGCTTTTGATACTAAACTTTTACAATATAACATGCAATAAATGACAATTACTGAAACATTTATTTAATCAGTTTGTTTTTACAGTCGGTGCTCGAAACACACTGTGACACACATCTCTGCAGGAATAAATATATAAAGCTTCTGGAAAAATTGATCATTAGGTTCAGTTTGCCCCAGGTAGCTGCAGGATTGATGCTAACAAGTAATGTTAGCTAGGTATCAATTGCTAAACAGACACACTGAGTCACTGAAGTTGGGGATGCACCCAACAATTATTTTCACTATCACTGTATCTTCCTATTATTTTCAGAATTTATATTTTTGTCTCTAGTTTTTAAAATGCCATTATTATATTCATGCAAAGTTTTGCCCAACCAACAGTTGGACAAAACCCAAAGATGCACCTACTATCATGTACTGTATGTGGCAACATACACGATCATTTGCTTATCAGATTGTTGCCTGCTGTGTTTTTGGCTTATGTGATGTATTTACCAATAACAAGTGATTTTATTAATATGCAGTATGGCCATGTTTCATTTGCTGAGATCCTGGTGTTTATTGCACCATGAATCAAGTGGCCATGGCACAGTGGATTATGAAATACTGAGTTATGCACCCGCTGAATTCTTTTTGATGGATTCAGACCCTGATTTAAGACACAGTGGACTTATCTGGTGAAAGCTGAGCTTTGGCAGGACTTCAATAAGGTGTCAGCTGAAGTGAATTTAAGATTTTTTATTGCGGTTTTCCAGGTGATCAGAAATATCCCAGCTAGTCTTTCCCAAGAGGAGCACTTGCAGCTCTTTATTAGATTTGTCACATACACTCTGCATAGTCTGCTGGCTGCATGGGCTCATGACCGGTTAGACACATACAGTAAATGCAGATGCTGTCAAACACCCAGACACCTAAAAGCTGAATATTTCTGAAAATGTTTCTTTACTGTATTCATAGTATCTGGTTTTGACAAGAATTGAGTTCAAAGTCTGCAAAAAATGTGCCTTTCGTCCCTAACATTAAGAATTACATACTAAAGTAGAAAATTGTTGTATGTGAATTGGCAGAGTGGGGTTCCTGATCATGTGGCTTCTGCCAATTTTTGTAGAAAGGAGGATTTAGTTACTAATCTTGCTTGTTTAGGTTGTGATCAGGGCTAAATAGTTGATCCAGAGTATATGAAAGCTTATCCAACCCCAGCTGGTCTTCTATGAAGCTGAGTCAACGTTTTAATAATCAGCCATCTGTTAAAGGAGCCTTCCATCTAAAATGTGAGAAAATAACACTTGTTATTAATTTCATCATGTCTCTTTTCCTAAGTAGAAGCATGTTAATTTGGAATGCATCATTTGACAACAGATGGCTTGCAGCGTTGACTTTCTCATTGTGTGTTTGGCTTAAGTACAAGTGCAGGGTGACTCAGTTGTTTATCATGA